TTTTGAAAGTGGTCAGATTTGGAAGGATAGGGTGCTGTATGTATCTAGTACCATATGACATAGGCCTGATTTAGAATAGGGGACTTACTAGTCTGAGGATCAAATATGGCCGACCCACTTGAATAATTCCCCACAGGATGTCCATTCAGTGTCTATTAGAGTATTAGATAGCAAGCTTTGTAGTGGGTCGCCATATTTGACCCTCGGACTAGTTAGTCCCCTATTCTGAATTGGGCCATGTAAAATTTTGGGTATTATAAAAGCAATTTTTTTCCTACACTTTTATTTTCTGGTGAACCATGTAGAATGGTGCAGATTGACTGAAAACTCGACACACTCAGGGTTCCATTACGCTCCCCAACTTACACAAGATGGGGAACTAACTCCCTAATGATTGATTTCTTTATTTATTTACATTTGTTGTTAATCTACAATAAAAGTGTACTCATCAGGGGGCTGTCAGTGAACAGGTTCAATTTTCTTCATGCAGGGAATGGGCCATGCGCGGTATTTTATTGCATATCTATAATTAATAGTCACTTAGTACCGTTCACATGATTGTAGACATTTGATATATATATATATTATTGGTGATCTCCCGTTCTTGAAGTGTGAAGATTAATTATCAGTCAACCTTTAACATATTATTGTCATATAATTAAACATAGTACACTCAATGTTCCTGTATTAAATGAATAATTACTGGGTTGTATGCCAGACTTTACAGAAAATAAAAATTATTATCAGTGATGGGCTTTGTTTCTATCTGGGTCAGGGTTCCAAAGGATTTTTTAAAAAACTTTACGGTATTAATTTGTCTCTGTAAATTGTCAATTTATGGTGCAAATCTTAAGTCCTAAGAACATTCTGAAAACTTTTCACTTTGATCATATCCCATTCATAATGACCAGTAAATTTTTAAAAATAAATATTAAATACAATGTGATTTACACTAATTAAATTTTAATAATAATAATAATAAAAGAATAAAAAACTAACTCAGATCTGACTAGTTTTATTTTATAATTCTGTTAGTGTGTACATCAATAACAATATCTGGGTATGAACACTACCCATTTCCCCTAAAACTGCTCTTCTGATCTCTGCTAGGAAGCATTCACAACCCAAATGTTACGTACAAATCAAATATAAAAATTCTGCTTTAAAGCTTTCCTCTCTGACTTTGGTAAAGAGCAGGAAATATCCCAAACAGTTGCCACACAAGCCACTCAATAGAGCTTTTCACAATTAGCATTATGTTATCTTTGTGATACACCCATACCAATAGATTTTGTCAAGTTTAACAGTTGCCACGCAGCTTATTGTCACGTATAATTTATTACGCTTAAAGGAACTTTACTCCCTTTCACAAGTTCACTTCTTGCTGTTTAGTAGATACTCAAATGGCCATGTTGAGGGAGAGCTCCATTCTCATGACCCCCTCAGATTATAGCCTGGCTGTTATCGTAAGTGGTCAATCTCTTAAAACATATCGCGTACAGCTGTATCACAAAGATGTCACTCTCTTTGTGAAAAGAACTTTTTAATTAACCACTCTCACTACAACAGAATGACAGAAATCGCCCATTAAAAAAAAAAATAATAAAAAAACTAGAGGATCAGAGAGGCGATA